GCGGAGTCTCACTCTGTCGCCCAGACTGGAGTGCAGTGGCCGCTCCTGGCCACTGCAGCCTCGACCTGCTGGGCTCCAGCGATCCTTCCGCCTCTTCCGAGTAGCTGGAATTACAAGCATGCGCTACCACGCCCGGCTGATTTTTTTATTTTATTGTAGAGATGAGGTCTCAAAGCCACGGGCTCAGGCAATCCACTCACCTCAGCCTCCCAAAGTACAGGATTACAGGCTGAGGCAGCAAGCCCGGTTTATCTTTTCTTTTTGAAAGCAGGATTTATTGAAAGGACAGAGAAGCTCCCACAGTGGGAGGGGACCCAAAGGGGCTGCCCTGCTTTATTCTTTTCCTACCAGGCTCCTTGAGACAGGGTGCCACCTGTCTTGCCTCACCGTGGGCCAGAGTGGCAAGACAAGGAGAAAGACAGCAAGAGGACAAAGCAAAGGCACCAAGTACAAGGCCGGACAGAAGCCCGGAGGGCCTGGCTCCCTGGCCTCAGGGCATCACCCGCTGTGTCCAGGAAGAGCCTGTGCTGGGCTCCTTCGAAGGTGGGGGTGGGATTTCCATAGGAAAGATGCGAGGAAGGGCGTCTTCTGGCATCTGCCACTCGGTGCTCTCCTCACAGAGAAGCTAGCCCCTTACCTAGTAGGATTTTTGTTTGTTTGTTTCCAGGTTTTTGCTTTCGTGGTTTGCATGACCTAGTTTAACAGACTAGCCTGAAAAAAAGGAAGTTGAGGCAAATATGTGATGATGGAAACCAAAGGGTGAGAACATGATAGCTGGTTTCAAATATCTGAAAAACTGCCACATGAAAGATTGTATCTGTGGATCTGTGTTGCTCAAGAGAGCAGTGCTTAAATCCATGGGCAGAGAGGCTGATGTTCAATCCCAAATCAGGAAGCACCTCACATCAGTGGGGGCCTAGCATTGGCCTGGACTGCCTGCACCCAGTCTTTGCCCGAACGGGCAGTCTCCCAGCAACCCCCAGTCTCCCACAGCACCCCCGGGGTGTCCCTGCTGACTGCAGGAGGGAAGGCCCTGCTAGGCTTGCTAACCAGCCTCCTTCCTCCCTCCTCAGCCCACTCTGCTGCTAGGCTGCTTCCCAGTCCCTCATGCTTTAACCCAGACTCCTCTCTCTGTCTCCCTTTACTTCCAGGAAGTTGCAACTGCACAGCATATCTGAGAGCCAGCAGGCACCCAGACATCGTGAATGAAATCAAGTCTGTGTCGCTTCCCTTGGTCTGTCCTGCCTGGACTGTCTCCCCTGGCTGGCTCCATGGAACGTCTCCCGCCCACACTCCTCGTTCCCCTTCCTCCCACCCTGGTCACTCCTTGCCCACGTCCAGGGCAGGCCTTTCCTCTACCTGGTCACCTAGTGCCGGGTCCTAGGAGCTCACTCCCTGGCTCTCTTCTCAGTCTCTGGCCTTGCCTAGACCCTCCGCCAGGGCCCGGGGAGTCCATGTGACAGCGTCCCACTTTCTTCTCCAGCCCGGAGTCTCCCCTGGCTGAGCGAGGGACCTATCCATCTGACTGCCCAAGTGACCTCTCCTGCTGGCCAGCTCAAGGCCTCTCTGCCTGCAACACCAGGTCTGCCCTTCCCTGCATCTGAACCCAGGCCCTTGCCCGGGTCTCCCGTCTCCATGAAGGGCGGTGCCACTGACCCAGCTCCATCAACCAGTAACTTACTTTCTTCCCTCCACCTGCAAAGTCAATCCAACACCACAGGAATTCTTAAGCCCTTTGGTCTCAGAACTTCTTTATGCTTTAAAACTAAGGACACAAGAGCTTTTCTTTATGTAGGATATATCAGCTGAAATTAACTGTTAGAAATTAAAGGTCAAGTTGGGCTCAGTGGCTCAGCCTGTAATCCCACGCTTTGGGAGGCTGAGGTGAGCGAACTGCCTGAGCCCGCGGGTTTGAGACCCGCCTGGGCAACTTGACAAGACCTCATCTCTACAATAAATCAAAAAATTAGCCAGGTGTGGTAGCACACGCCTGTAGTTCCAGCTACTTGGAAGGCTGAGGCGGAAGGATCGCCGGAGCCCAGCAGGTTGAGGTTGCGGTAGCCTGGAGCAGCCACTGCACTCCAGTCTGGGTGACAGAGTGAGACTCCAACTCAAAAAAAAAAATAGTTTCTTCCCTGTAATTTTAAAGTTTATATTAATTTTTACTGTTGTATTGGCATTTTTTCTGAATATTTTCACCCCTCGGATTGAGCCCACAGGCATGAAACCCACAGATACAGAGGGCCGACTGTATCTACAATTAACTAGTAAAGAATGCAAGCTGTGTACTACTGCCAGCCTCCCCGGGTAGCACTCTAAGTCAGGCCTGTGCAATGTCCCAGTTAGCCTAAGACTTCTGTGATCCATTTCCTGAAGGCTGGGGAGAAAGCCCACTTCTTGAATTGTGGAATTTGTCACAAGAGGGAAATCTGGCCTTATCACACACTATGATGAGCCTGCTGCCCTTGGTTGCTGAGACCACTGCTGCTGCCCGGAAATTCTCCCTTGTCCGTATTGGTAGAATTGTACCAGATTCACCTGCTCTCCAAGGAGCCTGAGCCGGGCTTGGGGAGGTCTGGGTGCTGGGCCTGTGGCTGAGCTTGTCTGTGAGCAATGTGCCTCCTTAGGGAGTTGCAGGCAAAATGTGTTACCAAGGCAGGGACTTTGCCTTCCCAAGTAACTTCTGGAACTCAAGCAAGCACTGGCAGTCAGTGTTGCCAGACTGATGGGGGCTCTGTGAGGTACTGTCACAGTTAGGCTAAGATATAACACTCAGTCTCCCATGAGCGGTCAGTGGATTTTCCAAAGGTCACTTGCCCTAAGTGACATCATCACTCGGACGGTTAGGCTGGAAGAAACTATTTACATACCATTTACGCTGCATTAGGTATTATACCTAACCTAAATAGTGTGCAGGTATTCAGCATGTACTACACATTTTATTTCAGGGACTTGAATCCTAGGATCTTGGTATCCACAGGGGCCCAGAAGCCCAGGAACCAACGCCTTGCAGACACTGAGAAACAGCAGTATTATGCTTCCCTCCCAAACAACTCCAAGAGTGTCGTTGGTCAGCACATTCCTCGAAGTATTAGGACGTCGTAGGCATCACAGGCAAGAGGTGTGAGGCCAAAACTCACACTTAGACCTGACTCCTAACCTTACAAGTCTCCAGTCCTTGAGGGAAGAGAATGGCCAGAATGAATGTGGACCGCAGCTGAAAATCGTCAGGCAGACACCTGAGGAGACCACTTTCTCAGGGACGTGTAAAAGGACGTTTAAATGTAATCACACCATTACCTCACTATATGTGAAGCTCCTTGAGAGTCAGGAGCTTCAGTTATTTCTTTACCCCACCTCTCTAAATAAAAGACACAGAGGATCCCCCTGCGCAGAGTCTAACAGTCAACAGATATTTGATGATTGTTGAATTGCAATTTTTTTCCACACTGGGTTCGTCGAAGAATATTTGTTGATTCTTTTTTTCAAAACATGGGCAGATAAATCAGACAGGAGGGGGAAAAAAGGGGTGAAATACTCACTGACAGACAGGTGCCTGCTTCTGGACTCGGGGGGCTGGTAGGCGGCATTTATATCGCCTGCGGACTGGGAAGCCTTGATCCGCACCTGCCGGGACACGCCTGAGAGGGGCGAGTTGGTCTGCAAGAGAGGAGAAGACTGAGCCAGAGCTCTTGGCAGGCAGGCCTGTGGCTGTCCCCTTGCCCGTCCCGAGGACCCCCGCACTCTCAGCACCTTCACGCTTTCAACACGTGAGCTGCTCGCCTTCCCCCGGTTCTTACTCCCCAGTCTGTCTCAGCAAATCACCATCTGCTCAAGGTAGCTTTACAGCTTCAATGACACATGAGCACTAAGACTTGGTGCCCTAGTTTAACAGGAGATAGACCAGACACGGCATTCCTACAATAACCTGCTAAACAGAAAAGAGAGCAATAAATACTCAATCACAAAATTCTCCAGAGCTCGGGAAGAAGAGCAGGAAGTTATTTCAGCAGAGAGATCACCTGCGGGGAGAGGTCAAGCAAAGAGAATGATGGCAACTTCTCTGGTCAACAAACTTCTGACTGCTGCTGGTACGTATTTATGTATTTTAATTAACTTGTTTCTTTGTAGAGATGGGGTTTCACTATGTTGCCCAGGCTGGACTCAAACTCCTGACCTCAAATGATCCTGCCTCCCAAGTAGCTGGGACTACAGGCACACACCACCATGCCTGGCTCATACGTGTATCTGAGAAAGTAGCTTGATATGCTTCAGGGATAATCACTCCCTGAAAACTAATGCAAAAAAAGCTCAGTTGCTCCCAAGTACCAGGGTTTACGTACAGACCACCTCAAAATCGTATTCACCTGGGAAAAGCCATCAAAGCAGCATTCTGCCAGAGGTGGAGGATCCAGGAGGGTCAGCAGCCTCACTGCACCCACCCCCACGTTGCACTGGCCCAGCTGAACCAGGAGGGGAGTCCACAGAGAAGACAAAGCATGAAAGAGGGGCCTCTGCATGGAGAAAGCTTCAAATGAGCCATGGCCAGGCACGGTGGCTCACGCCTGGCATCCCAGCACTTTGGGAGGCTGAGGTGAGAGGACTGCCTGAGCCCAGGGGTTGAGATCCGCCTGGGCAATTTGGCGAGATCACATCTCTACAATAAATAAATAAATAAATAAATAGCCGGGCGTGGTAGCGCGCGCCTGTAGTTCCAGTTACTTGGAAGGCTGAGGTGGGAGGATCGCCGGAGCCCAGCAGGTCAAGGCTGCAGTGGCGGGTGACAGAGTGAGACTTCAACTCAAAACAACAACAACAAAAAAAAACTGAACTGTGGAGGTGAAAAGTGATGTCAGGACATGCTTACAAATAGGAGAGCATTACTGAGAATGGGAGGGGCACAGGATTTATCAACAAGCTGGTCAACATTTCTACTGGCCTAACTCCTCTACCTCCCCACCAGGCACAAAGTCCAACCTAAACATACTGCATCCTGTCCTCCACAAAAAAAGGGGCGAGTTCAGCTGCCAAGAAGCCTCCTTGAGTCTCCCGCAGCCAGACTTTATCACGCAGGGCTGTCCTGACAGCCTGCCTTGCTCTAACAGGAAGTCAGAACCAAGGGGAAGTGAATGTTCTTGTGCAACAGCTCTCTGCTGAGGGTCAGAAAGGAAACAGAGAACAGTCAAAGCCACACACTGGGGAAGCAAGCTAGTGTGTGACAGCCCTGCAGTCGGTAGAGAAGGGTGAGACCGGGCACAGTGGTTCACACCTGTCATCCCAGCACTTCAAGAGGCCAAGGTGGGAGGATTGCTTGCACTCAGGAATTCGCGACTACCCTAGGCAACACAGCAAGACTTCATCTCTACAAAATAAAAAATTTTTTAAATTAGCCAGGCATGGTAGCACGTGCCTGTAGTACTACCTACTTGGGAGGCTGAGGTAGAAGAACTGCCTGAGCCCAGGAGATGAAGGCTGCAATGAGCTGTGATCATGCCACTGTACTTCAGCCTAGGCAACAGAGTGAGGCCCCAATTCAAAAAAAATAAAAGAGAAGAGCTGTGTGGCTAGCACCCCATGCCACCTGCTGGAATGCAGGGCCTCACACATAGTGGGACTGCAAGAGAACTGGGCAACGTGAATTTGAAATGTACCAAGGAACATACATTCTAAACCCTCCATTTTAAAATCTAAAAGCTGGCCAGGCGTAGTGGCTCAAAACTGTAATCCCAGCACTTTGGGAGGCCAAGGTGAGAGGACTGCCTGAGCCTGCGGGTTTGAGACCAGCGTGGGGAAATTGGCGAGACCTTTTCTCTACAATAAATCCAAAAATTAGCCAGGTATGGTAGCACGCACCTGTAGTTCTGACTACTGGAAGGCTGAGGTGGAAGGATCGCCTGAGCTCAGCAGGTTAACGCTGGGGTTGGCCATGAGCGTGTCACTACACTCCAGTCTGGGCAATGGAGTGAGACTCCAACTCAAAAAAATAAAATCTAAAAACTGAGATAGAAAAGTAAGTTCCACAGCCAGCACAAGCACAGATTTGATTTTCTTTTAAAAAAGGACCAAGTTGTGGCAACAAGTGGGAAAGCCGGCAGCAGTCCAACACAGAGCTTCTCAGGCTTCCTGTGCACAGGACTCACCTGGGGCCTTGCTAACGTGCAGACTCTGATTCCAGAGTTCTGGGTGTGGCCCAGGGCCTGCACCTCACAAGTTTCCAGGCAATGCGGACACTGCTGTTACATGGGCCACATTTGGAGCCAGGTCTTAGGAGGCGAGGCATGCCTCAGCCGCAGGTCCTCATGCTCAGCCCCAGCTGACCCCGTGAGAACTGCCCGGAGCTTCTGACACCTCAGATCAGCACAACAGAACCTCTGGGGATGCGGCCCCAGCACTGCTATTTTTTAAAACTCCCCAAATGGCCGGGCTTGGTGGCTCAGCCTGTCATCCCGCGCCTTGGGAGGCTGAGGTAAGTGGATTGCCTGAGCTCGTGGGTTCGAGACCCGCCTGGGCAACTTGGCAAGACCTCATCTCTACAATAAATCAAAAATTAGCTGGGTGTGGTACCGCGCGCCTGTAGTTCCAGCTACTTGGAAGGCTGAGGCAGAAGGATCGCCGGAGCCCAGCAGGTCAAGGCAGCAGTGGCCATGAACGTGCCACTGCACTCCAGTCTGGGAGACAGAGTGAGACTCCAGCTCAAAAAAAACTCCCCAGATGGGCAGGAGTAGTAGCTCAGCCTGTAATCCCATCACTTTGGGAGGCTGAGGTGAGAGGATTACCTGAGCCCAGGGGTTCAAGACCAGCCTGGGCAACTTGGTGAGACCTCATCTCTACAATAAATCACAAAAACTAGCCAGGCGTAGTGGTGTGTGTCTATAGTTCCAGTTACTTGGAAGGCTGAGGCAGAAGTATCATCTAAGCCCAGCAGGTCAAGGCTGCGGTGGCCATGAGCATGCCACTGCACTCCAGTCGGGGCGAGGGAGTGAGACTCCCACTTAAAAAAAAAAAAAGAACTCTGCAGTGGCAGTGTGCTGTGGCTGACACTCACAATATAATTACCAGGGAACCACATACATAGAGATTCACAGTCCCTGGAAGACAGGAGAGCAGCAGAAAAGGAGGTGACAGAAGTCTCCCCACAAATTATCTCAGCAAGAAATCAGGTGATGCAACACAAAAGGAGCCAGCGAGGGGTGGCTAGCTGGGTGCACAGCAGTGGAAGGTGAGACATGGCCAGCTGGGTCACCAAGAGTTCTGCCCAGTGCTCTCTTTTTGTGCTGGAACCAAGAGAGGATGAAGACCAGGCTAATTACGATAGTCATAGAAGCATCCAAGGGGATCTGATTAAATTTACAGCTTTGCCGTCTTTAAATAAAATCTGCTTTCAGATAACAGATGCCTTGTTTATCATCTGTTTCAGAGACTGTTTCCTTATTGTTCTAAGATAACGTTCAATATTTGAGGGCTCATCCAAATCGAGGCCAGACAAACCAATCTGTTTTCCTTCTCCATGGGTTACATGCTTTGAAGGCGCTGTGTGCACGCCTGGGCCACCCTTCCTGACGAAAGGGGTCTAGGCTTCTCATGCCATTCATACGTGTCAGTGACCCAGCCCCGAGCAACTCCCATCTTCTCCTGCGCCTCTTCTAGCTCAAACATCTTCTGAGCTGCGAGAAGAGGATGCCACACCATCTCACGAGCTTTCTTCACGGACATGAGACAGTCTGCCTAGCTCCTAACGTCACCTAGCTGTGGAGGAGACTGGGTGTGCTTTTCCAAAGACCACCGTAACTCAAAATCCCTACCCAGGATGGTGACCAACAGGTTCCAGACTGCAAGTCAGCACTTCCAGATTCTAAGCCAGCTCCATCATCCTAAGTCTCCGTATTCCCAGGTGTGGACTGGAGATAATGAAACCTGCCTGGACCCCTCAGAGTTGTAAGAGTGACAGATGAAAGCACCTTTTATGTGGAAGGTGTTACACTATTCTTTTTCTTTGTATTCTTTTTCTTTGTATTTATTTTTGAGAGTCAGAGTCAGAGTCTCACTGTCATGGCTGGCACAGCCTTGACCTGCTGGGCTCAAGCGAACCTTTTGCCTTCCAAGTAGCTGGAACCACAGGTACACGCCACCGCGTCTGGCTAATTTTTGATTTACTGTAGAGAGGAGGTCTAGCCAAGTTGCCCAAGCTGGTCTTAAACCCCTGGGCTCAGGCAATCCTCTTGTCTCTGCCTCTCAAAGCGCTGGAATGATAGGCATGAGCCACTGCACCCAGCCATGTTATTCTTCTGCCCAATCAGTTTTGCTTTAAACATCTTGCTGCACTTGTCCCGTTATTTTAGAGGATTGAAAAGAATTACTCTAGGCAAAATAGTGCCCAACTCACTAGTGGGAAACTCGGACGTGGGCAACACTTGGATGAGAAAATGAGAAGTTTACTTTTTTTTTTTTTTTTGAGGCGGAGTCTCACTCTGTCACCCAGACTGGAGTGCAGTGGCCGCTCCCGGCCACCTAAGCCTTCCAAGTAGCTGGAACTACAGGTGCGTGCTACCACGCCCGGCTGATTTTTGATTTATTGTACAGATGAGGTCTCGCCAAGTTGCCCAGGCAGGTCACAAACCCGTGGGCTCAGGCAATCCACTCACCTCAGCCTCCCAAAGTGC